GCTGGAGGAGGCAGCGTCAGTCTGTTAAAGAGACCGCGCTCATACAGCAGTGATCACATCTCATAATCACTTGAGGCTCAGCAGCATCATAAAACGTTATAAAACAGTCAGCTCACTCATAAATCATGCATGTTGCCATTGACATCGAATAATAAAAATAACAACAAATTAAAGGCTGAACTGCTAGCGGGATGTGACTTTGTGTTGAGATGTAGGATGAATTTATTTGATATTATTAACTTCACAAGCAGCTCTGTAATGTTACAGCTGATTGAAGCGAAGCTGATTTAACACCTTTATATACAGATAGATTTATTCTGTAAGAATTCATTCTAAACTGATCATGTTTTTGAGTCATCTTTGATCAGGATATGTCCTTTAAATCAGACATAAACCAACTCTCTAGAACTGCCTTCTTTCACCTGCACAATATCACCAAAATCAGGAGCATCCTGTCTCAAAGTGATGTGAAAAACTGGTCCATGCATTTGTTCCTTCCAGGCTGGACCACTGTAACTCTTTACTATCAGGATGTCCCAATAATTCCCTAAAAAGCCTCCAGTTAATCCAAAATGCTGCAGCCAGAGTACTGACAGGAACTAGCAAGAGAGATCATATCTCTCCCATATTAGCTTCTCTCCACTGACTCCCTGTAAAATCCAGAATAGATTTTAAAAGCCTTCTCCTAATATCCAAAGACTTCCATCGTATCTTAAAGACCTCATGGAGTCTTGTCATCCCAACAAAGACTTGGCTCTGGAGCTCTATGATTCTGATGAGCAGTCACCGGCCACATCAACCTGCCCAGTGTTTGACTGTTTGTTGCTTTTCTTTTCTCTCTCCTCTATCCACTCACCTCACTGTCGCCAAGTGTTTGCTCAAGGAGGATTCGTTGGGTTTTTCCTCCATGATAATAATAATAATAATAATAACAACAATAATAATAATTTTCTGTCTTCACCCTACAGGCCTACAAATTGGTTTATTTATTGGGAAATTGCACAAAGAAATTGATTAGGCCTATTATGATTCAGTAAAAAAAAAAACAGCAAATATTGACAGCTTATGGATATAGAAGGGAAACGTCTGAAATTGTGTTTTTAAAAAATGACTTGCACGGTTAATGAATACCTTAATGCAAGTGAATGCAAATTGCCTATATGACATACATGTTATTAAGTTAAGAATGCAAAAGTACATCATAAAAATTCTCTTCTCTATTATCTTGAAATACATACAAACCCCGGAGGAAACACTCTGTCTCTCCTCCTCCGGGCCTGTTCGGGTCAGACAGGAACAATATGGCGCCGGTAGGAGCGTTAGCCTCTGGACCAGTCGTTGTCTGAGAGACTGGCGATCCGGCAGGATGAACCTCTGCACTCAGTACTTACGGTAAGCTTAGTGCGGTGTCCGCTATACGTTCACCCGGTGATACAGATGTGCTCAGAATCGGGCATTTTTATCCAACAGGTGATTTGTTTTGTTCGGTTGCTAATGCTAAAGCTAGCTGGTTAGCGGACCACCACCTTAGCTAAACGTTGGCGCTAGCTAGTTTCATATATCAACAAACAATCGATGCTGTCGTTTTTCGTCTCCATGTTGATGTGATCAAATGTGTAGTGTTTGATAGACGTACGTATAGTTATGTGTAGATTTAATGTTTGTTAGCCACTGTTCGTTTCAGTTTAAAGCGAAATATGTGTTTAGACAACCCGAGAGAGATATTACCCGGTGTGTTATTGGTAGTTAGCTATAGCTTGCTAGCATCTGTCTGCGTATGTCCGGTTAGCATTAGCGAATAGATGCTGTTGCATGTTAACTGTTATTTCGGCCAATTAACACCAACCCTTTTTGGCTTTAATTCTCGTTTAGTATTTATTTAGCTATGTGTTTAACTGTTTTCCTTCGTGGTTCAGATGTAGATGTGTTAATTAGCAGTGTACGGTTAGTGTTAACCTATTAGCTAAGTTAGTTAGCTAATTGACGGTTTGTTACAAACGAAGGGATGTTTCTGGAGATTTAGTCACATTTTTGACCCAGGTAGTAGTTTCGGCCCAGTGTCGTCACTGTTTCCTCTTGTCAACATTTAATATAAACTGTTAAATGTTTAAATGGCTTCATGGCGGATATCGTAAGCGATAGCAGGACCGGTGTTAGGTCTCTAGCTGTTACTGTTCTGTTAGTCATGTGTAGATTGTTAATAATGAGGAAGCCATGCATGTTAGTATGCATGAGGCCAGGTGGTGTTGTGTTACGCGTGTCTCTGGTGGTCATGTCTAACCCCATCCTCTCTGTTTTCATCCGAGTAGACAGGCAGAGGCCCTGAAGGCTGACATGACAGGTAGGTGAATGTACCTCTACAGGCTGGTTATCAGTCATCACACTGGGCTGCTTTGTCATTAACATACAGGCAAATTCTGTCTTGACTTGAGAGCTGTTATCCTCATCGGTGCTGGACAGAGAAACCGACACTTGTTGAGTACAGGCTTGGTTTCACTAGGCCTGAAACTAAGGATTATTTTCATTATCAGTTAATCTGCAGATTATTTTTTAATTCATTGTTTTGTTAGGATTGTAAAATGGAGTAAATAGTGAAAAATGCCCCGAATAATTTTCCACAGCTCAAGGTGGTGGATGTCTTCTCCAACCAACAGTCCAAACCATAAAAATATCATCATATCATACAATCATGCATAACAAACAGAGGCAGCAAATTGTAACATTTGAGAATCGAGAAGCAACAAAGCAAGACTGACGGTGTCAACTGCAGAGGCTACGCTTGGTGATGGTTAAGGGAAGTACGGTGTTTACCATTTGTTAGGTTACAATGGTGGAAACACAACAACAGTATGGGGTCAGATACATCACACAGGCAAACACGTGTTTGACAGAATGTAATGTGTGGATCTTTATGGTCCCAGCTGAGACCTGGGGTTTCTGCCATGACATGAAGGAGTAGTGGCCTCTCAGCTGTTTTTAAGCTTCACTCTGGGTTTCTGGCCCCATGAGGCTGGCTGGCTGTCTTAACTAGGGATACACCAATACTACTTTTCAGACCAAGTACAAGTACTTGTTGATTCCAAGTACTTAATGATGCAATGTTTCAACCATAAAAAACTGCAATGGCCATAAAAGTGCAATGACTTTAGAGTTGTTTATTTGCATTATTTTTATAAATATTATGAATACTTTTTCTCTACCCAAACATTTTATTTCACACAGCAGTTTGAAATATTAAATGTTTTTTAAGTGTTAGCAGACTGGTGAACTTTGACCAAAACTGGAACTGTGATTAAAATCAGGAGTTGTCAGGTGAAACAGTAAATCAGCAAGATGATGAACACTTGAAACTAAATTTCAGTTTTCAACAGTTTCTAATGCTCGGTGCTATGGACACATTCCTGTCTACTCCACACAGGTATTGAGGTTCGATATCCAGTCTGGAGGTTTGTTAAGTTAATTGTAGTGTTTTCACTCGGTCCTGTAGATTCGAAGCTGGGGGCGGCTGAGGTGTGGACGTCTCGCCAGGCCCTTCAGGACCTCTACCAGAAGATGCTGGTGACTGACCTGGAGTACGCTCTGGACAAGAAGGTGGAACAAGACCTGTAAGCTGTTCTGCCTCGACCCTGCAACACGTTCCTTAAATCTGTCATAAGTCAATTCACTTCAAAGTCAAAGTGTTTATTGTCATATGCACAGTTTGAAAATGCGTTTCCCTGTACAATGAAATTCTTACTTTGCCTTCCACATGAATGCCACACAATACAAATGAAATATAAAGTAGATAAATAAGTAACACAAAATATAAGGCACTTTAAAGTAGCAAATGAAGAGATGTAATAAGAGAATGTATGCTACATGGGAGCTGTATGTGCAGTAGTCAACAGTGAATGTGCAATTATGCATGTGCAAACTGAGAATATAAACAGTACAGGTTGTCAGTACATGACATATTTCCTGGTAATAAACTCATGTCAGCTCTTTAGAAGTCTGATGACAGAGGGAAAGAAAGAGTTTTTCAGTCTGGAGGTCCTGCATTTCACACTTCTGAACCTCTGGCCGGAGGGTGGGGGCGTGAATAGTCTGTGCTGGGGGTGGGTGGGATCGTTGAGGATGGAGGCAGCTTTCCTACGCACCCTGTGGTGGTAAATGCTCTGCAGAGAGGGCAGTGGTGTCCTGGTGATCATCTCCGCAGTCTTTACCACTCTCTGCAGGCGCTTGCAGTCCTGGTATGGCAGCACTACTACTATGGACTGCAAGCCCCTGTGTAGGAAAGCTGCCTCCAGCCTCAAAGACCCCACCCACACCTGTGTGGAGTTGATCATGTGATCAGCTGGTAGTCCCATTTGCTCTGATCAGGTGTTTCTCTATCCTTGCAGGTGGAATCATGCTTTTAAGAACCAGATCACCACACTACAGAGCCAGGCCAAGAACCGAGCCAACCCCAACCGCAGCGAGGTCCAGGCTAACCTTTCGCTGTTTCTGGAGGCAGCAAGTGGCTTCTACACCCAGGTAAGATTCAGATGGTTCCCAGGAGAACAGGTTTCATTATAGGAGCTAAATAATAGCCTGTAACCTGGAGCTTGCCATGGCCTGAACTTTTTTTTTTTCCCACTTTATTTCGAACATAATTAAACAAATGACTGAAAACACAACACCGGTAACACATGTATATCCAAGCCCCTTTTTATCTGTTTTATATTTTCTCTCTGTACGTTATTATTAAGCTTTTAAGAACCTGCAAGACCTGAGTCTGGGTTATTCTTGTGTTTCAAGACTGCAGCTGTTGATTTTATTCATTTTAGTTATTCCCCACAAACCCCACCCAGAGACCAGCAGCACCAGTGAATGTGGTGTCCTCACTGTAATGTGTGTGAGTCCAGACCCTGGTCCAGCTTATCGCTCTGTGCCGTAGACCTCCACTGTTGTCCACCAGCAATTAAACCCCCCCCAGTGAGCCACAGTGCTGCACTGAGGGGGGGAGGGGGGTTGGATTTCCTCCTCAGGGAACATATGAAGGGACATTGGGTTCCAGGAGTTCCTGTAGCTTCTCTACAGAAGGACAGGGCAGTGGAAAGAGACATGGCTGCTGTGGATACATATAACTGGTATGCGAGTGAACAAACAGTTGTTGGATCAAATTTAAATCCTCCTTGTCCCTTGTGTATCAGTTACTGCAGGAGCTGTGCACCGTGTTCAACGTGGATCTGCCATGCCGTGTCAAATCATCTCAGCTTGGCATCATCAGCAATAAACAGAGCAGCACCAGCGCCATCGTCACCCCGCAGCCCAGCTCCTGCTCCTATATCTGCCAGCACTGCCTCGTCCACCTCGGAGACATAGGTGAGAAAATCCACTTCCTCACATCTCACTCTCAGCAGTGGAGGGAAATCAGGGCCATATTTTCCCTAAAGATCTTTTAACAGACTGGCTTGTTGGTTTTCCCCACCACTGTGTATTTCCTATAAAATGCCCATTTGAAAAATACTCTATCATCCAGGATCAAAAATGATCAAGTTTGTTGTCCTTCTTTGATTTGTGTTTCTGTCAGCACGGTATCGTAACCAGACCAGCCAGGCAGAGTCTTATTACCGACACGCAGCTCAGCTGGTTCCATCAAACGGTGAGTCTGACAGGACATAGAGCAGACAGTGGGTGGTGTCACGGTTGCCTAACACTCCTCTGTGTCTCCTGCAGGTCAGCCATACAACCAGCTGGCCATCCTGGCCTCATCTAAAGGGGACCACCTCACCACCATCTTCTACTACTGTCGCAGCATTGCAGTCAAGTTCCCCTTCCCAGCAGCCTCCACTAACCTGCAGAAGGCGCTGTCCAAGGCTCTGGAGAGGTAGCAGCACAGCAAATAGACACACACTTTTTTTTTTTTAAATGTTCAGTTAAAATTAAAGAAAGACAATTACTTGACTTTGTTTAGTGACCAGCCTGCAGCATTTTGTCCCTCTGGGAAGCAGTAAGACTCTGGAGACTTTTCAACTTTGCTATAAATAGTCCTCTGTTTCCTCATTTCCTTCTGTATAAAATCCTGCGCCCTGCCTCTGTGTTTCTGTAGCCGCGATGAGGTGAAAACCAAGTGGAGCGTGTCGGATTTCATCAAGGCCTTCATCAAGTTTCATGGCCATGTCTATCTGAGTAAGAGTCTGGACAAGCTGGACGGTCTGAGAGAGAAGCTCGAGGAGCAGTTTCAGGTGTAACAAACATCCAGCTTCCTTTGTGTTGGTTCTGCCTTTTTTTTCATGCATGCACTACAACTGAAAGGACTTTAGAGTAACAGTGTGGCCTGTGTGTGTGTGCACAGAGGCTCATCCTGCAGAAAGCCTTCAGCTCTCAGCAGCTGGTCCACATCACCGTTATCAACCTGTTTGAGCTCCACCACCTCAGAGACCTGACAGCTGATGGCAGTGAGCAGAGCTACAGCAGCGAGCAGCAGATCAGCTGGTTCCAGCTGCTCGGCCTCTTCAGTAAGAACCACATGCACACTGACAACACTGCTAGACCTCATGCAAATGATACTGTGACTAATAGTGATGCAGATACTTATAAGGCTGTGCTCTGACAGAACAGCACTGTATCAGAAGTGCAGCACAGACCCCGATAATACTGCAGCCTAGCCTCCGCTACCAAAAAAGAAAATCGCGATGCGATTATGAAAATAAAATGTTAGGTTTGTTCATATCTGGGGAACATGAGCAGTCAGCTACATCACACAGCAGGTGGCCACGGTTTTGATGAGTGATTGTTTAAATATCTGGTGACTAAACTGATAACGAGAGGAGATGTGTTGGCTCTGTGTGATTCACCTTGGTGAGAAATAGCTCAGCGCTAGCTGCAGGTGAAATGACAGGCTGAAGTTGGTGTGACAGCCATTAACTGCATACTGGCAACTGAGATCTGTTACTGTACAGCTAATACCGCTGCTGCAGTAACTGATGGCTGTGCACATGCACAGAGACAGCTTTGTGTTGGTACTGTTAGAGGGAGTTCAGGCATTTGGCATGCAAAGCAGAACACACAGACACCTCTTCATGTGTTTAATCAGCAGACACCAGCACACATGACAAACAAATGTTGCTGCTGATTGATGGCGGGTTGTCTCTGGTGTTTGACACAACTTCCTGTCCCCTCAGTGTCATTCTTGGGCGTCATGTGCAGCCGTGTTTTGCTCAATAAGAACCATGGGGAGGAGATCATGGGGGAGTGTCCACTGCCGGCCATCAAAGTGTCTCTGGACTGGCTCCGACTGAGACCCAGTGTCTTTCACGAGGCCGCTGTTGAACAGAGGCAGTAGTAAGTCTGGTTTGTGCAGGTCTTCAATCACAGGCTTAGAGTGGTGTGTTGGTGAATGTCAGTGTGTTACTTTTGTCCTTTGCTGAAGATTTAACTCCTCTCCCTTTTCTGTCTCTCAGTATTTGGCCCTGGCTCGTCTCCATCCTCAACAGTTTCCAGCCCAAAGAGGATGACGTGTCCTGTTCCTCAGGTAGAAAGAACACCTGCTGGTACTGACTGTTGCACAGATGTCAGTCAGGTTCTTTCTTTGGTTCAGTGATCAATATGAGCTCCTCGAGTTATTGATGGACAGCTTATGGGATAGTTAAACCACAGGCATTTACAGGAACAGATGATGCAGCTGTTTATTTAAAGGCGAGAACATCTCTGTCAGTCGGATGGTATCTATCTCTTCAGAATAAAAGCTGCACCGCCGGTGTATGTCGCTACACTGCAGCAGCTCAGGAACAGCTTTGTCCTCTTAGGAACATTTTCATATGTCTGCACACGTCTGTTTTGACACTCTATCAACACTGAATCTGTGCTTTGCACCCACAGAAATGGAACTGTGGAGGATAAAAATGGCTTTATTTAACCAGGGAAATGCTTCAGTCAAATGAAAAATATCTTAACAGACTGACCTTGCTTTGATAGCAGCATAACATAGAACATAAGTTACAAAAATCTATCCTACAAATAAAAAATCAACAAAACAAGTTATCTGAAATGAATAAACTAACAGCAGTCTAAATACTATTATCAGGAGTTACAGACACATCTGTAGATTAGAGATCTTATAAATACATCAAATCTATTTATACAAGTCATTCAGTGCTAATATGGCCCAGTGTTCCACCAAATAAAAAAAGTGAGATCAGCTGATTCCTCAGGTTTTTCCTCTGACTGAAGCTTGTTCAGTCAGCGAGAGCAGAGATCACTGAGGCTGTTCTGGAACAGGAGGAGGACCTGAGGAAAGCTGCAGTCTGTAGGTCGAAGGAAACGGTCTGCAAAAGCTGGAGAGCATTTCCAACATTAACTGTGTTTTTTTTTGTTTGTTTGTTTTGTTTTTAAGAACCAAATACTGTTTTTAACACAAGCTTAACTGAATCACTGTCAGCATACTGGACATTTGAAAACACTGGTCATGTCTTAGTGTGGACAGTTGAATTTGGATGTGGTCTAAGCTTTAGCATCAGGATGTTTTAGTTCTCAGCTGTAACCTAGTGGTTAATGTCCTACATGTGTACAAACCAGTGACTTTTAAGTTGATACATACAGAACTGTATTAGCTGATGGTGTGTTTGTTTTGCCCTCAGTAACACCCCTGCCAGAGGAGTTTGAGCTCCAGGGTTTCCTGGCTCTCCGGCCCGCTCTGAGGTACTGCCTCCACTCCTTCATTCAGTTGTGGAATGAACATTCAGTCGTCATGCCTCTAGGTGCTGATGTGTGTTGGTGTTTTAGGTCTCTGGACTTCACTAAAGGTCATCAGGGGATCCTGGTGGACCGAGACGGTCTGCCTCTCCACGCTCGACACCAGAGACTCGCCGTCCTGGGTAAATGGGTGGCTGACAACCAGCCAGGGTGAGTACTCATCTGTCACTGGGACTGTCAGCTTCGTACACTGTGGGCCACATATACACAGGAAATGGTGCAGCAGAAATGATGTCTAAGGTTTTCTTTGAATTTTGCAGCTGTTGTCTGTTTAGCTCCTGATTTACAAAGTCAGCAGCTCATTATGTTAGCAGCGGTCATTTTCATTATGGATTAATCTGTCGATGTGTTCCAGAAAACAGTGAAATACAGTCTTCGGCCAACAGTATAAAGTCCAAATATATTACATTCACGATCACATAATCCTATAATAGCAGTTAGTCCCCACAGATTTTCAGCTGAAACTATTCAATGTTTGGCATATTGCTTTTGAAAAAGACTTTGAAAGGACTTTTAAACTTTTAAAGGAGGTCAGCACAGAGCATATGGTCCAGTAAGTGGTAGAGAGATCCATGTTCTAACAGCTTGTCATCACAGTCTTCTCTGTTTCATGGTCATTTATTGGCCTTCTGTGATGTTCAACTAACTGGGCAGTAGAATAAACGTCACAGATATTCTAAATGAGCCTGCTCAGAGGTGAAGGGTCACAGGTTAGAGCCCCCTTTCAGGACATCCGTACACTGTCTCCTCTCCATAGGCTGATCCAGTGCAGAGTGAGCGAGGATGGCCTCCTCGTCTTCATCACTGACATTCCTGAGCAGGCCATCGAGGAGCCACAGGGGAAGGAGGCGCCAGTGCTGCAGGAGTCCTCCAATGGGGAACAGACACCCAACGATGGCAGCAACTCAGGCCTTAAGTCGGTGCTGTCTGTGGGGAAGACACAGAGCTCGTGGCCCGACGGCAGCGACCGGCCCGTTGTCACCTTCAAGGAGAACATCAAACCCCGGGAGCAGAACCGCGAACCGACATGGAACCATCTTCAGAAGGAAGGCAAGGAGCGCAGAGATTTTACCAAAGGCAATGGGGCTGCTGGGAAAGGAGAGCTGAAGAGGGACGGGAAGAGGAAGAGTGAGCCAAAGAAAAGTGCGCATGAGAAATCTCCTGATGCAGGAAAGCAGGTAGGGATGTTGTTAATACTCTGTATGGATCAGCTTCACCTCAGGGTGGAATCCCTTAATGTGGAGTGGTGCTGATGCAGCTTATCTTGTCTCTCTTGTTCAGGTCAAGGCACAGACGGAGCTGAGGAAGACTCCTGTGTCTGAGGCAAAGAAGACTCCTGTCACTCAAACTCAAACCACCTGCTCCTCCCAGTTCATCCCCATCCATCATCCTGGAGCCTTCCCCCCACTGCCCAGCAGAGCTGGTACACACACTCACAGTTTACTTTAACTTGCATGGGTTTATGTGACTGTACATTTATTCAGCAGATGCCTCTGTGGTGCACTTTTCTTCCTCTACATAAATATGGGCGCACTGGGTTATGTGGACAAGCATTTTTAAGCACACCACCAGTCCGATGGCTGTTACTACTCTGCACCAGAGCTACACCTACCCTACCCCTACTTAGGGTGATTTAGTATTTTAACTAGGTTAACCAATCTGATGCCACCCTCAAGTACTGTACTCGCTACTCATAACAGTTGATACTACACTCTGATACCAGTTCACGGCAATGTTATTTAACCTCAAGCTGGCTGAGCTGGTCATTAGGCAGCAGAGAAGAAATTTCAGCGGTTTGAGGGCATTTTAAAATAAGTGGCGATGACAAAAGTAATGTCGACTGCGCGTTCAGCTTCTCTGCTGTGTGTGTTAGAGCTGCAGCCTCGTTAAACATTTAAATCTCTGGCTGTGACAGTCTGGTCTGTGAAACCATTGCATCCCAGCACAGGGTTGCGTTCCTACTGAGGCTAAACTCTACTGTACTACAGCTTGTTGTGTAGCAGGCTACACACATTCAGTCAGGTACACGATACTCGGTGGGAACGGTGGCAGTGCTGCTTATCACAGGATGTTTTCAGGTCATTTACACAGCCTCCTGGTACACAGGATATTCTGTTTAATCACTATCTGAAAGCCAGTCTCATGAAATTAAACTGTCTCTAAAGTCACTGCACTTTTATGGTAAATGTAGTTTTTTTTGTTTGTTTGTTTACAATAGAAACATTGTATCATGAAGTACTTGGTATCGGTGAGTACTCGTACTTGGTCTGAAAAAAGTGGTATCGCTGCATCCCTGATTTTAACTATACAACATTTCTTAGTGAAATTACACGCAAAGTGCAGTGATGTTAAGAAGAAATGCACAGCGCAGACGGTCGGCTGTAAACACATCTCTGATCAGTGCAGTCCCTGTGAGCAGTAGGCTTTGGCTTCGCTGGTCTGTGGGACACATGGTCACTGGGCTCACATGGGCACAACTCGGCTTCTGAGGAATCACATTTTTCATCAGCTCAGTGTCCCTTATAAGGAGGTGCTAACTCCAGACCGCTAAGGAGCCTGACGAATGTGTTGAGTCTTGATAAGCTGAACTGAAATAGATCACGTTAAAGAATATCAGCACGTGTTCTTTTTAAATCAGAGAATTATTTTGCTGTTAAAAACAGTCCAGTTGAACAGCTGGCTTTGTGTTGTAAAAAACAGAAGAAGAGGAGAGCTGCTTGGAACCAGTGTTATAAAGTCAGAGAAGACATCTGGAAAACGATGGTGCTCTTTGGTAATGGGTTGGAAGCTTGGAAGATCAAACAAACTGAAAAATACCAAGGCACTCATCTTTAAAAAGTTTAAATGCCTTTAATTATACTGGTGTCAGTATTTTCGCTGTCTGTCAGTGGTTGGACTGAATATGAGTATGTCATTTAAAAAAAAATAACCCAAAGTGAAACTTGGCTGAAAAACAAGCTTGAGAAGATGGGCTCTTTAGCAGTAATAAATGAACATCAGTATCTTTTTCCAGGACAGTTGGAACTATCCAGCTCTACCATTATTTGATATGATAGCCCATCACTTGCATAAGTTTGATGTCATTTCAAAACCTGATTACTTCATTCGTTGCACAGACTAGCAAGTACAGCACACTAGCATCACTGGAAAGGGCTGGTCACAGCACTTGTTTTGACATGATTCGCAATAAGTAACGTAACATTTGTGAGATCTGTACACGAGGGCTGTGGATTTCCAATGATTTTGGACAAGTTGCATCTGACGGGTTGTCAAACTAAAATCTGACTTTATGTTAATTATTTTGGTATTCTTTAATTCTTCTTTCTCTGTCTCTCCCTCTCACCTCAGCCCGGTGTCGCTATGTGTCTCTACTTCCTGTATTTGTCATTTCAAGTTAAAAGCCCTTTTCGGAGCCGTGTCATTGCGACGTTATCTGTCACAAAACTCTGAAGCAGCGGCAGCAATAATTTTGCAGCATCAGCCCGTTGCTGCAACATGTATATAGCAGAAACGCCGGCATGTTCGGTGAACATAAAAACTGAAAAAGACAGTTTCTTAAATGTCTTTTTCATTGAACATGCCAGTTTAATTAACTGCATTTTACTATTTCAAAGGCAAGTGCCTTGATATTTTTCTTTGTCCTGGCTTTGTGTTGTGTCAGACTTAGTCATTTTAAATTCCATTCTGCAGGTTTCACTCCCTCTGCCTATGTGATCCCTCCTCCTGTGGCGTTTCCTGGGCTCCAGGTGAATCCGGGCTTCACCTTCTCCACCGGAGTATCAGTTCCCGGGCCTTTCCTTCAGTCGGCTGTCCACACCCAGGCTGGCACGCAGGTCCAGACTGGTAAGCAGTCCCACATTCCCTACAGTCAGCAGAGGCCCTCTGGTCCCGGTCCAGGTCAGGGACCAGGGTCGTCTGGCCAGGGCCCCTCCCAGGGCCAGCAGCCCCAGTCCCTGCAGCAGTCGGTCCAACTTCAGGTGCAGGCAATGAGTCAACAGCAGCAGTCTCCCACTAAGCCGGTCCAGCAGGTCGGGATGGGGAAGAGTCCTCCTCACCACCCGGGGATGCAGCAGGTCAGATCACATTTCTATTAGCTCTTCTCCTCTGTGTGTTTGTATACATTGTAGTGCAGCCCATGTTTGCAGCTGTCTGTAGTAATCTTCAGATTGGAAGTCTCTAAATCACTAACCTGGTGTTTAATTGTGCATGAGGGAAAAACTGATACAGGTGTGTGTGACCAGGTCAAGGACTGTGTAGTAAAACACCTATTGGTGTCTGTATTTATGTTGAGCTTGATGATCTGAGGCATTTCTCCCTCTGTGCTGTTGTATGTCAAAAAGAGAAAAGCTGATGGTGGGTGTATGAAAACTGGAGCAGGATGGGACTGAGCAGAACTGTGTGAACTTTGAATCCTGTTGTCTGCTAGTGAAAAGCTGTGCAAGCCTCTAGTAGACTGGTAACAAATACCTGTTGCACTGACTATTGTGTCTGGTCTCAGCAGTTTGTGCAGGTCCAGGATCAGCCATCTCAGATGTGGAGCCAGGCACAGGCAGCCCTGCAGAAGATGGCCCCCCTGCAGCTGTCCATGAAGCAGCCTCAGCAGCAGCAGCAGACCTTCTACATGGCAGCTCAGGAGCCTCTCAAACTGTATGAGCACCAGCTGCAGCCGCCTTCCCAGCCACAGCTCTCCACCATGGACAAGAAGATCAAGTACCCTGATGTCAAGGTGCAGGACTTCTACTGGGAGCCCTCGTACAGGATGGGGGACGGTCTGGCTGTGATGGCAGACAGGATGAAGAGGCCTCCACCGGGCAGTATCTGCTCAGAGCAGGATGCCTCTGCTGGGCCCCGGGGACCCCCATTTGAGGTGAGGGTTCTCAGAGCACAGAGAGGGAGGAGGTCCCATGCTGCTGCTTCTGTCCCTGTGCTGCCTTTGCTTGCTTATTCTGCTCAGTTTGTTTCCTCTGTCTCTCTTATGAAATGTTTTTGTCAGCATTCACAGACTGAGAGACTAAATCTTCTTAGAAGTCACTCACAATGCTGCTGTACCTCTTGTGTTTTCAACCAAAATATAATACCCATTTCAACACTGCTTCTGTCTGGTTGATCAGACCACCCTTTAATGTTGAAGTAATAGCGAGATGCAGCTGAATTTATAAAAAGAAAATAAAGTAAAGAGCAGCAGGTAAAACTGTTAATCCCCCTTGGGGGGAATTTGCATATTTAAGGTGACATACAACTAAGTGATCAAGTAGTCAAGTCAAAAATCTTTGTCATTATGCATAGCACAACGAAATTTCCTCCGGCAGCACTCAGCTTAAAAGACATATTTACATACATAACACAACAATTGTAACGAGTCATTATAAAAATATCAACAGATAAAAATGAAAATGTATGGGATCTAATCAGGTCAACAGCGTATTAGCAAGAAGTAGGAAGCAGCAAGTAGGAATCCTGACTGAGAAACAAATCAGACTGGAATAATAAAAATGACACTTAATGTAAAAACAGGTGAAATAACTGTTGGGAGATGTTTTGCCATTTTGTTAAATAAGCCAGTGATTCTGTATGTTTGTGTCATTCCCCACCAACCCTGTCCAGAGACCAGCAGCACCAGTGAATGTGGTGTCCCCATTGTAATGTGAGTCCAGACCCTTTCTGCGCAGTCCCCCGCCCGTTTGCCCCCCCAGCCATTAACCCTAACCCTGCCAGTGAGCCACAGTGCTGCACGGGGGGGCAGGTTTCCTTCTCAGGAAACACTGGAGGCCGTGTGTTTCCAACAAACACATTGTTGTGTGCAGTACAAGGAGCTGGTGTAGTGTAAACAGAGCGGAGGTCAGTGCCTATGTCTTCAGAGATGGCCGTTCTTTGCCTTTGGAGCTGTTCGTGTATGAACGAAGGGGCTTGTGGAAAATAACACAAACATACAAAACTAAAAAAGGTTTCAAGACCTTTGCTGTAACACTGAGCTGGTTCTGATCTGATTCCTTTGTAGCTTTTAGCATAACTTCTTTCCCCTCAGTCTTACTGGCTTGCCTTCTTTGTTTCTCTCCTTTCTGTCCCTCTCTCCTCCTCCTCTTCCTCCCCTTTTTGCTTCATCTCTCACTAGGACAACAAGAGCTCGCCTCTTCTACCTCCTGACCTGTTAAAAACTCTAGCAGATTTTGAGGAGGAGGAGGAGCTCGTCTTTACTAAGCCTTCTGATTTCTTCCAGGCCTTGACTGGCACTCTTAGCGCTGCTCCTGGACCAAACATATTTGTATGTAGCCCGGTCTTCCTCATCCACAACCCCCATCCTAAACCCTCCACCCCCTCTTCCCCTGCATCTGCTCATCCAGAGGTGTTGATTCACCAGTGTAATCACTGTGGAGGCTGGAGAATGTGCTGCTGTTATACTGAGAGCTGGTTCTGGTCTTGTGTCGACCAGTTATGTCACTTAGGCTTAATAACAAAAACACTGTGATCATACAGTTGAATCAGCACATCTGTATTCAGCCTTGCTGGTGTTTAAATGACTTCAGGGCATAATTCTCCGTTATGCGTAGCATGTGCAAATATAGGGGCGGCTGTGGTTCAGGAGATAGAGCGGTTTGATTCCCGTTCTCCCCAGTCCACATGTCAAAGTGTCCTTGAGCAAGACACTGAAACCCTGATGGCCAGAGCAGTGCCATCATCTGCCTGCGCGCATGCTCCTCGGTTCTTTATCAGAGACAAATCCCTTGTGTGTGTAACACACTGGGCCAATAAAAGTGATAATCATCATTATCATATAGGATTTTAAACATTAAGGTTTTGTGGGGGAAAAGTAGATTCTGGCAGTTTCTGGTGGCTGACGGCTGAAAGACGCACAGTTTGTGACAGTGTCAGTGGAGTAATTTCAATCTGGTGTCAGCTGAAATGGCTGTAACCGGTCAGACATCACTCACACTGTGGCTTTACATGTCCTAAACATCAAGTGATGTTTCCTGCAAAAGACTAGGGACTTTAGAGGAAGTGAGACAAAAGAAAATACAAACAAATAGAACTGAACAAATGAAAAAGGAAAAATATTAACTGGACAACTGAGGTTTTGTTACAAAGGTTGAGGAACGTGGCTTCAGGTCCTTTACACAGTCTTAAGTTAGACCAGGGTTTGTCAGGACCTCTGAACTCAGTACTGTCCTGTCTATGACTTGTGTGGGCAGAATGGGCTGATGCTGTAAAATCTTATCACTATACAGACCAACTGTCAGCTCTCTGCAAGGACCCATGTTGGTCCACAGGCCCCAGTTTGGAACCACACAGCTGGTCTGCTGAATAGCTGCCAGCCTAAAAACAGAGCTAATGAAGAGCTACGGGAGTTTTGAAAACTGGTCTAATACAGATTACCATGATGTTCTGTTCTTGTGCAGCTGCTTCACATTAAAACCTCTTCAGTTTCAGCTGGGGGGCTTTTATTATATATGTGTTTGCAGTACTGAGTGTAGTTCGATCGGTCTCAGTACATGTTCATACATTTGGCAGACATTTTTAACAGATAAGCATGAAGCCACATTGATGTCACAGGCCTCTGATTTAGAAATGTCTGCAGCAC